ATAATAGTGTGGTTGGGGTCGCCACAACATGTGGAATTCTATTAAAGGGTCGCGGCATTAGAAAGGTTGAGAACCACTGGTTTATAGTGTTTCAAACAAAGATGTTGATGTTCATTATATCATATTTCATTGTTTATTTTTATAAGTTATTACATTATCTATTTCATTATTTATCTCATTGTCTGTTTTAATGTTTATTTTGCTGTAACACAAATTATGTGACGTGCATCACTTTCAGATCACTACTTTCCATCTTAACCTGAGTACAGCAGTGGAGATATTAACCGTAATGTGTCCACCAGTAATTCATCTTAAATACTAGCTCCATGTTTCTAATTATTATTATTTCCCATGTACTTGGTTTGTTAAGTCACGTGCCGGGAGGCCGGAGTATTTGCTCCCTTGTCATTTTTTGAGTGGGGGCTGGTGTGGTTTGAAATGGAGTTGGGGGAAATTGGTTCCTCCTCATCATAACACTTAATAAGTAGATATAAAGACGCTATAATTACTTTTTAAAGATAATAAACTTTATATTGAAAATTTTTTATAACGTTCAGCCTCGTTTCTTGTCATTAAAAGTACACTTATTTGACGTCACGATTACTGGGAACGTGGATTGTTTCGTTAAGATTGTATAAAGACTAATTTTGTATTTAAAAAAAAATAATAAGTAAAAATAGCATGTATACTTTAAAAAAAAATCATGTTTCTAGCTTTTAAAAGCAGGATATATCTTTAACTTAAATGTTCCTATTATATCCAGTGATATCTGCACACTGCGGAGCTAGAATTTATAATCATGCATGAAGTAAAATTGAGTGTTTGTGAACACGATTTACACACGAAACGACGTGTAGAGCAATTGAATGACAAACGTAGAACGAATGTCAAACACTCGTAGATCAAATGTGGAGCGCGTGTAGAACAAATGTGGAACACTCGTAGAACAAATTTGGAGAGCTTGTAGAACAAATGTGGAACACTCGTAGATCAAATGTGGAGCACGTGTAGAACAAATGTGGAACACTAGTAGATCAAATGTGGAGCGCTTGTAGAACAAATGTGGAACACTCGTAGAACAAATGTGGAGAGCTTGTAGAACAAAGACAGGATGCAGGTAGAAAAAAAATGTTGAACAAAAAAATAGGACGATGTAGAATAATTGATTAACAAAACATAGGACACATGTCAAACCAGTCTAGGACACACATACAAAACATAGGACACATGTCAAACCAGCCTAGGACACACATACAAAACATAGGACACATGTCAAACCAGCCTAGGACACACATACAAAACATAGGACACATGTCAAACCAGCCTAGGACACACATACAAAACATAGGACACATGTCAAACAAGCCTAGGACACACATACAAAACATAGGACACATGTAAACATGCTTCGGATACACATAAGAATCATAGTACACATGTAAACGTGCCTAAGACACACATACAAAACATAGTACACATGTAAACATGCTTAGGACATGCGCACAGAAAACATGTAGACATGACTAACACACACATGGAAAACATGTTGTAAAAAGTAGAAGAGATAAAACGAAATTATCAAATAACATTCTCTTTATTACAAAAAAAAAAATAAAAAAAAAAAATTAATATAAAAAAAGAAATATTACTGCAAAACAAATACTTGATACTTTTGAAACTAACAGCATAAGTCAAGCCGTGACCTTACGATAGACCAGGCCTGCACAACTCAAAATGTAAGGTGGGCCGTAATACTTTCTGAAAAGCGTGTGCGGGCCAAAAGAAAATAGGACAGGAGAGAAAGCAATTAAAAAAAAATAATGAGAATAAAGAATATTTCGTTACTTCGCGGGCCACAAAGTGGAAGCTGGCTGGCCACATGTGGCCCGCGGGCCGTATGTTGTGCAGGCCTGCGATAGGCGTAAGAGGGTCATGGTTAAGTGAGTGCTGTAAATCTATGGCAACCCAATTGTACATATTTGAGCATTTCATTGAAACATCCCCGTAATTCCAATACATTTTAGAGATACAGCTTGGTTATTCGTGTCAATTCTTTTACATTCTTGAACCGCTTTCATTTCCCTCACACCCGTGTCACTCCTCACTCACAATTCTCACCCACAATATATCGATATTTAAAGTATATTTTTTCAACCATTCCCAACAATCAATTCTCTCCCACAATATGTCTATATTTAAAAATTCTCCCAACCACTCGCCACTCACACTTCTCTCCCACAATAAATCTATATGTAAAAATTCTACAAACCACACACCACACACAATGCTCTCCCACAATATATCGATATTTAAACATTCTCCCAACCACTCACCACTCACTATTCTCTCCCACAATAAAATCGATATTTAAACATTCTCCCAACCACACACCACACACAATGCTCTCCCACAATAAATCGATAATTAAACATTCTCCCAACCACACACCACACACAATTCTCTCCCACAATAAATCTATATTTAAACATTCTCCGAACCACACACCACTCTCTCCCACAATATATCGATGATTAAACATTCTCCGAACCACACACCACGCTCTCCCACAATAGATCGATGATTAAACATTGTCCTAACCACTCCGAACACTATTGACCCTTAAAATATCTCCTTTGAAATGTGTTCAATTTTTATCAATAATGACAGCACAAAATAATAAATACAAAACTTAACACATCTGGGAACATTATTCACAATTCAACAATTATCAACATGTAATAGGACCTAAGGATTGTTATTGGTTCAACAGTAAAATAATGTGACATGATTGATCAGCACACAGTTGTTGTGACATGATTGATCCGCACATGGTTGTTGTGACATGAAAAAGTTTAAGACTAAAACAATGTTTCATTAAAAGTTACAATGAAGAATCGGTCAATCGAACTGAATGTATTGATACCATGGCAATCATCAACCGTTTACCTGTATCACAAATCGCTACAACAAACTTTTGAATGGGGACTTGCTAAACTGACGTAAATAAGTGGCATAATAAAGAAAGTGATACTGCAGGGCTGACCTAACAGTCATAGCATAATGGTACGATAAAGACAGCGATACTGCAGGGTTAGCTTTTCAGTAATAGCATAATGGTACAATAAAGACAATGATACTTCAGGGTTGCCTTGTCAGTAATAACACAACTTGCTACTTATTTATTATAGGCTACTGCCTGGTAATTGTGTCCTATGCCCGGTCATTGTGCCCTATGCTCGGTCATTGTGTCCTCTCCCCGGTCATTGTGTCCTATGCCCAGTCATTGTATCCTATGCCTGGTCATTGTGCACTATGCCTGGTCATTATGTCCTATGCCTGGTCATTATGTCCTATGCCTAGTCATTGTGTCCTATGCCTGGTCATTGTGTCCTAAGCCCGTTCATTGTGTCACATGCCTGATCATTGTGCTAGATAAGTTGTTGTACGTCCCTTGTGGAGACGGCTGAACTCAGACATGGGACGTCTTTGGTAGAGATTGAATGCAAATTTAGAAATAGGTTGAAATGGGAGAAAGCACAACAAGGACTGGGGCTTCAGGCATTCTTATCATATAATGACCTAATATATCAGCACTCAAGTACTTATGGGCAATAGATCAGCACTGCAGTACTAAGGAACAATAAATCATCACTGCAGTACTTAGGGTCAATATATCAACACTGCAGTATATAGGGTCAATATATGAACACCAAAGTAAAGTATTGATATATTGACCCTGATCCTATAATTTTAATGCTGGTAACGTGTGTACAATTCCAGGTGCACAAAGGACAAGGTCATTAGTTTGAAACTTGTGTGTAATATTTCTAAATTAGTCCCTCCACATGGGATATCGTTCTAAATTTTTAATTTTTTTTTTTACACATTAGCTCTGTAATCAGGATATCAATTAAATTGTAATTTCAAGCAATACAAATGAATATATATTTCTGCTGACCAACAACGGTAACAGACGTCAAGACGGGGCAACTAGTGTCACGTGTTTAAACGGCATGTTATTTAGCCGAAGAAATCACTGCAGGAGGACGACCAGCCGTCCCTCATGACCATCTGGTCACTACATACATTTGAGACTTGCCGGTCAATGGATACACGAATGACAACACACGATTTGAAACAATTTGGCTCTCTTCCTTTTGGGATCTCCTCCCAAACCAGAGGTCACCCCTAACTGACATTTGAATCTTAAAAGACCTCCCTCCGTCTCCCTCAAGTACGACCATAATTCCAGCCAATGGCCAGTTGATGGCCCACACGTACTGAATTAAATGATATGTCAGATGTCAGCTTGCCTGTGTCATTGCGTACATGTTAAACTGTTACTGACATGTCAGATGTCAGCTTACCTGTGTCATTGCGTACATGTTAAACTGTTACTGACATGTCAGATGTCAGCTTGCCTGTGTCATTGCGTACATGTTAAACTGTTATTGACATGTCAGATGTCAGCTTGCCTGTGTCATTGCGTACATGTTAAACTGTTACTGACATGTCAGATGTCAGCTTGCCTGTGTCATTGCGTACATGTTAAACTGTTACTGACATGTCAGATGTCAGCTTGCCTGTGTCATTGCGTACATGTTAAACTGTTACTGACATGTCAGATGTCAGCTTGCCTGTGTCATTGCGTACATGTTAAACTGTTACTGACATGTCAGATGTCAGCTTGTCTGTGTCATTGCGTACATGTTAAATGTTACTGATATGTCAGATGTCAGCTTGCCTGTGTCATTGCGTACATGTTAACCTGTTACACAGCTCTTTTTAAAAAAAAAAGTTACTTAACTATTTTGTTCGTCAGTATGTCACGTGACTGGGACAGTTCTATTTATAGCCTAATGTTTATTTGGGTCTAACTTGACCACAGAGGACAGCGCTTTAAGATCCAGAACCTGACCCGAATCTTTGACCGCTCTAGAGCACTCTGAGTTCGTTCCGGAAACCCCACCACCTCCCCCACCCCCAGAACTTTTCCCAAACGATTTTTTACTACTCTCCTCCCCACTGCTGGAGCTGCATTTAACCTTGACCTTGATGCCATCCTTGGAATCCTCCGCCTCCAGCTCGTCGCCCAGTGACGGCGGAGTGGCCGGGGACTCGCCACCCTCGGAGGCGGGGCTCGGGAGCGGCCTCCTCTTGGCCTCGTCCTTCTTCCACTTCATCCGGCGGTTCTGGAACCATATCTTGATGTGGCGCTCCGTGAGACTCAGCATCGCTGCCAGCTCGATCCGCCTGGGACGCGAGATGTACTTATTGAAGTGGAACTCTTTCTCCAGCTCCAGCAGCTGGCCCCGTGTGTACGCCGTCCGAGTTCGTTTGTTTTCATCTTCCAGCGAGAACTGCGCCCCTGGAAAGGAAGAAGAAAACGGGTCAGTTATTAATGGAGCTGATACAAACATAAACATAATTGAAACACCGAAACAAAACACACATGCGATCTCAGCCACATACTGAAGCTGTTTGCTGGACCGCATGACATGGGACAAGATTAGCGATCAGGTTTAGCAGTGGTTTATAAGGGAAAAAAAATAGGGTAGAGGAAATCCTGATAAAAGTGTGATGTGCTGCTCCCCAAAGCCACGACTGCTCTTTGATATACTGCTCCCCAAAGCCACGACTGCTCTTTGATATACTGCTTCCCAAAGCCACGACTGCTCTTTGATATACTGCTCAACAGATCACGGCTGCTCTTTGATATACTGCTCCCCATGCCACAACTGCTAACTGTTTTTGCTAAGCTCAAGATTGGGGAAAAAAAAAGGGGGGGGGGGCAATAATTTGAGATTCGATACATGGCATATGCCAAGGTTTCTGAAACGGTGGTGCATAATATACAACTTGATAAATTGTTCCAGGTGGAAGACAGGAGTACAACATGAGTATCACGGGAGTATGACAGGAATATAACAAAAGTATGAGAGGAAGATAACAGGGGTATGACAGGAATATAACAGCGGTATCACAGAAGACTAGCAGCACGAAATACTGGTAATCAGGCAACAGTCTACGAAATATTTACACTGTAGTACCCAAATTAATTTTTTTTGGATTATTGAAAATTTATTATCGATGATTTAGAGAAACGCTTGTCAAGCAAATATCGAACCACAGCTCATAGACGTCAAGGATGACCTGTTAGATGTCCAACGAAAAAACACACGACAGATTGCGGGAATGGGCAAGAAAACTAAGAGCGAGAACTTCCACATACAAAATTTGCAATAAAATATTATGAGTTATTTCCCTTTTCTCCTCCTGCCGATTTCGTTCACTCATGTGCGACACGAAGATTTCTCAATTTATTTATGTTTTATTTTTTTTTTTATATCAGTGTCACATTAAACCACCGTTGATATTAGTTAGACATTTAGTATAAAAAAAAAAAAAATAAAACATAACATCTGTACATACGAATACCATTTGACGTCCTCACATATGAATTGCGTGGCATTGAATACAATGAATTGGGGTGGATGACAGAAGTCCTTAGGGCGTTGTATTCAGTATTTTTTGTTTGCTTTTTTTGTTGTTGTCATTTTACTAAACTACAAATGATTACTTAAACGCCTGGACAGTCATCATCTAGTTTATGATTATTTAACTTTAAGTTTGGGGTTTCTTCTGACATTAGACTAACTCATGTCCAAGAAGGAGATTTTTTGTTCTTTCTTTCTTTGCTTCTTCTTTGCTACGATAAGACATATGCATCAGTTTTCTTGAATCGTTCTTCCTATTATTGTAAATGGCACTTGGAGGTTTACAGGAACTGGATATCAAATCGATTTTTAAAGTGCTTTTTATTAACTTCGCTTTTAATCGTGTGCTTCTGTGTTTAAGGCAAAAATCCTCGGACGGCTAATTGACCCACTTCCCCTCATCCTATCGAACTGAAACTTGATTCGATGCCGATGTCCTTGATCAAATTTTCAGCCCGACCCCCCAACTCGCAAAAATACATTTGTTCTGTTTTTCAAGGGGACGATTAATACGTTATGATTTATGCAATCGGTGCGTGTTTTGGTGTGGAAATTAATTGTTTAGCTGTTGCTGCGTGCATTTTTTTTTATTTTTTTTTTTGTGTGACGTGTTTGGGTATGCAGTAAAAAATAAAATGTATTTTTGAGAGAAACTGAAGGAAATATGAAATGTGTTTTCATCAAAAGTTTACCCATTTACAAACCTCTTCTTACTAAATGATAAATCACGTGCAGTGACATAAATGCAACAACAACAAAAAAAAAAAGATTTCAAGGATTTATATGAAAAACTTTGTTGTTTTTGTTTATTTTATTTTACTATTATTTTTTTTTTTTAATTGGAGCAGTTTAATTAACAATCACACTTCATTCCATAAATACATTAACAACGTCACATGAATTCTAACATGCGTGTATCTCTGTGAGAATCACATAACAATGCTTTCCCCGACCCAGGGGGAACGCTGAAATAATCTCATACAACAAATAGAGATTTTTTGTTGTTGTTTTTTTAAAGAATAGAAGAATGAGAGGACACATAGACACGAAATATTCGCAGCAGCGAGGGAGATCAACAGATTCATCGAGAGAGACAAGCAGATGGCACAAGTAGCATGGCGTCATGGCCACGAGCTGGTATGACTAGTATGATAAATACATTTAATATGGCCATCTGTGAAATACCAAAGTTGATAAAGTCAAGTTTTTTTTTTTTTTTTTTTTTTCTTGTTGATGTTTTTTTTTTTTTTTTTAAATTCAGATGGATGCTATACAATATTTTCATGACATCACAAACACCGAAATTGGGATCCCAAGAGCAGTTTGTAAACTCCTGCAAAACCTTGACCATTTGTTTTTATTTAAAATCAGCAGATCAAGTGCATTATTTGCCACATGAACCTATGGACATCACTTTTTGCCCCCTTATCATCCCAGTAACACATTGACCTCGGACACAATGAACGGGTCATCTCGATGTTTCCGCTCCTCCAATATGTCGATTTCCTGGCCTAAGGGTCAAACAAATAAAAACCCCGAGAGATGGTCACTCGGTGGTCACTCGATCCCCGGGCCATGTTGTCTGGTTTCCATCCCCTTTAATTTCATTCGGACAATTAGTCCGACTGGCCGCGCGTCCCGCGGTTCAAGCTGAGATAAATAGCCTCCGCCAGTGGACGCTTGACCAATGGTCAGTGTTTATAAGGTGTTGGCGGCCTGTCGCCTCGCCATGGGTCCACCCGTTCTCTGCTGACCACTCATCTGTTTTTTGTCTACGTTTAAGAGGGTCTCGCAGGGTGCCCTCGGGCGATTTATTGGTGTCCATTGTCTGGTGCACACATTCACGAGTACGTACTCACCTTGACACCAGGGGGGCACCACGGGGCAACGGGCCATGTGACCATATGCACTCCCCACTACCTTCATTTCTTCATTTAATTTTTACTCTGTCTTCAACAGCGTCTAGTATGACCAATGATTAAATTTCCTTGGGCCAAAAGCGCTGACCGTCGCGCATTATCGCGATACGTATTGTAGCAGTATGTTTGTCCTCGTATAGACACCAATCGTACAGGGGGAGACATTGATAGACGTTTGATTGTCCTCGTACAGACACTGAACTAACTGGAATAGACATTGATAGATGTATGATTGTTCTTGTCCCGACATCAACCTACACGAATAGACATTGATAGATGTATGATTGTTCTTGTCCCGACATCAACCTACACGAATAGACATTGATAGATGTATGATTGTTCTCGGACCGACATTAAACCTACAAGAATAGACATTCATAGAAGGTTGATCGTCCTTGTCCCGACATTAAACCTACAGGAACAGACATTGATAGAAGGTTGATTGTCTTCGTACCGACACCAAACCTACAGGAATAGACTAGTGGATTAGAATAAAGTCGATAAAATTGGTTGGTGGACAAGGCAAGTGGGAACATTCCTGACATTACCGTGGTGCCCAGTCCCAATTCTAGACACTGTAATGTCCCTAGAACAATCGCCTGCAACACGCCACACGAATCTCATCTACGTCAGTCTGGACTTACAACAAACTCCTTGGCGAGGGCATGACATGGGCGGATAATTGGGTGGCGAAGAATAAAATGGTAACCACTTTAGTGAGAAGTTTGTTTCCAACAAAAATTCAAACAGGGAGGGTAGTCCTCATTTGCAGTCAACCATGGAGGGTAGTCTCCATCTGTAGTCAACCAGGGAGGGTATTCCCCATCTGTTGTCAACCAGGGACGGTAGTCCTCATTTGCAGTCAACTAGGGAGGGCAGTCCTCATCTGTAGTCAACTGGGAGGGTATTCCCCATCTGTAGTCAACCAGGGACGGTAGTCCTCATTTGCAGTCAACTAGGGAGGTAGTCCTTATTTGCAGTCAACTAGGGAGGTAGTCCTCATTTGCAGTCAACTAGGGAGGGTAATCCTCATTTGCAGTCAACGAGGGAGGTAGACCTCATTTGCAGTCAACTAGGGAGGTAGTCCTTATTTGCAGTCAACTAGGGAGGTAGTCCTTATTTGCAGTCAACTAGGGAGGTAGTCCTCATTTTCAGTCAACCATGGAGGGTAGTCCCCATGTGTAGTAAACCAGGGAGGGCAGACCACGTCTGCAGTCCACCATGGAGGGTAGTCCTCATCTTCTTGTACCAATTATGTTTCTAAGCAGACGACACCAAATAAATGGAAAGGTAACTCCTGGCGTTCCGTCTTGTCATGTCACAGCGGGATTATCTCGCATTATGGGTCACGATGGAGCTATGCTCCCCCAAATATTTATCACAGCTGGCTTATGACCCAGCCACTGTTTGTCTCCCCTTGTCTCGACTCTCCTCCTAGCCCACCGCTCCTCCTTTGCCCAATTAAAAGGTCACGAACCCTTTACTTACACATTTTACATACCGATACGATTACAACTTACCGATACGATTACAACATACCGATACGATTACAACATACCGATACGATTACAAACATACCGATACGATTATAACTATCAAATTTTTTTTCCACGGGAAATAATAACATCTCTTCATTATACAAAAGACTTTTACCCCCTTTAATTGTGGGGGATCTGGGGGGGGGGGGGTCAAACATTTGGTAAATTTGGGGGGCGGTAATGCCTTTTTCAATTCATTTTTAACCCCCCCCCCCCCCCTGAGAATTGTTACATTTAAACCTACAATATCCCGAAAAGGAGACGAGGTCATATCAGCAAGCGCATATATATATATATATATATATTGATAAATGGTTTAATAATAACCCTGATATTCCAAAAATCAACACTGCGCGTTTGTTCAATGCTTGTTATATGCAAAAAAGACAATCTTCCCATACTTTTAAAGTGACCG